ATGTGGGAATCCAGCGAATTAGCATTACGATAACTGCTGGTTCCCAAGCAAATTGTTTTTAGAGGTAACTCAGAGCAGGGATTAGAGATCATTCCCTTTGCTGACCTGGTGAGAAGACTTGGTACTTTTTTTTTTTAAAGAAATTTTTGCCTTAGAGAATGTACTCTCCCCAGAGAGACAGACAGTGAAAGGGAAAGTGAGAAATCACTCTGTGAGTGGATCACCATGCCATAATCCCTTCTCCTCCATTCTCCCAGGATTTCAGGCATGCACACATATGCACCTGGTGTGATTTTCAAGCCACCAGGTCCGGCCAGACCTGAACCATGGTTGGTCATGTGGGAGTCTAATGACATAACCACTACACCATCTGCTGGCCTGATTTGGTACTTTTTTCATGGCTACATCAAGACTACTGACTGTTGCGGGCTGGCAGGTGGTGTGGTGATTAGGGTGGCTGGACTCCCACATGGCTGACTGCCGTTCAAGTCCCAGATCTGGCAGCTCGCTTTCTCACTTGCTTTCTCTCTGCCTCTCTCTGGTCAACTTCAAGAAAAATGTGAAAAAAGATAAAATAATGACAGTGAATAAAATAATAATAAAAAAAGACTACTGACTGTGATGGGAAAGTCAGAGAGGGGGATTCTGACAGGCTTCTAAGGTAGGGTCTATATCTTAGCACTGTCCCTACTATTCATTCTTATTAGAAACTCCATGGGGAATCTCAAGATGAAGAGTTTTTGTTGTTGTTTTGTTTCGTTTTTGGGACTGAAGGAGAATGCTTAATGTTTTAGTTTGTATTTGGGATAACCTGGAAGTGACAAAAAGTTAATACATTTCTGAGCAGCCTCAACTGATGATAACTTGGGCGCTAGTATGTAAATACTACAGCTTGCCTGGGTAGGATACATCCGAGGTTTTTACATACAGGTCTAGAGAGCCCAGCCATGCCAACCTCACCTGTCCATGTCAGTACCTGGTATAGCTGCCCTTCTTTTCTCAATTGCGAGTCCTCTATCAGTGCTTCTTGGAATTGCTCTCCCCACAAAATCTTAGCTTTAAGTTATTTTTTTTTTGGCCTGCTTCTGAGAGAAACCAATCCAAGGCAGAGATCCTACCACTTTGTATCAGTATCTCTTTCCATATCTGTGGACAAAGTGTTTGTTGCCTGACTGCCTTGTCCACAGAACTTGGGACAACCTTCAGGAACCATCCAGAAATGATATCTGATATGAACACTTAATGTTAGCTGTGATGAAAAGAAAATGGTGAATGCTGACAAAGAACTACTTTCTCTTATTTCCCACCCTGCTACTGAGTGAGAAACTTGTGACACAATCACCCACAGCGGTGACTCATGGCTCATCTTCACAAATGTGAAGTACGCCAGTTACCAGGGCCACAAGTGCTGAATTCTCTAGTGAAGTTCTGTCTTTGAGCAACAGTGGTCTTACCCACCCACATCCCTCAGCTGCAAGTCATATTTCTGTTTCCTTAGCCAAAGTTCAAAGAGCTTAAGTGGCTTTCCTATTTTACTCCCTCTGTGTAGTGCAATTCAACAGCTCAAGGCCTGTGCAGCTGTCACTGAGGGCATGTGGCAGATTTCATCCTTAATTGAAATACACATCAGAGTGGCTGTGTGGCCCCTCCAGCTGAAGGCGAAGTGGACAATTGGACTAACTGCAAACTGGGATATTGTGCTGGAATGTGAACTTCTATATTGGTGCCTCTGTCTGCAGAGGAAAAGCACACAGAGTCTGCCTTTGAAAACTGAATCTTGTGGACCTCAGGCATTCTTTACAGAATTTCTCCCCACACATCACTGGCCCACTTTTTTGGATCAAGAGCCTGGGGTGATGTGACTGGTTCAGCTGGAGATGGAATGCAAACTGGCAGATCATTGTAGACTAAAAAGTCCTTAGAGCCCACTCTCATCACTTGGGGCAGTTCTCCGATGTTTTTCCTTTTTCATTTTTTTCTTTCTTTCCTAATTTCTTTTTCTTTTTTTTTTCTTATTTATTTATTTATTTATTTATTTATTTCCATAAGGAACCCAGTTATTCAAGTGTCTTTAAGTCACTGGAATGTTCGCATTTAGTTTAGTTTACATCTTGAGTGGTGATTTGAACATGAATAATACAAAATAAATGTCATCCATACCTCATTTTTCTCTTTCTTTTTAAAGAATTATTTTATGTATTTATTTATATTTTTTAATTTGACCAGAGAGACCGAGCAAGAAACAGAGGAAAGTGAGAAAGCAAGCCGCCGGGTCCAGGACTCAAACCATGGTCGGCCATGTGGAAGTCCAGCACCTTAATCACCACGCCACCTGCTGGCCCCGATCCATACCTCACTGAGGATATGAGCTTGGGGAAACAAAAAAGAAGCATAGGTCCTAGATTCAATTCCCAACTCTTGTTATCTACTATTGGTTTGTTGGAAAGTTATGTATTTTTTCTGTTTTTCTATGCAAAAATGCATCATGACTTTCTGACAACCTGGTAGTTAGATGATTTTGGGCAAGTTACTCATTTTTTTTTTTTTTTTTTTGAGAGGTTTTTACTATAGGGCGTGTGCTCTCACCGGAAAGACAGAGAGACAGAGAGACAGAAAGCGAGAAATCTCCCTCAGGGGGGATGACCACATTGTAATCCCTTCTCCTCCATTCTCCTCTCGGGATCTTGTGCACACATGCACACATGCCCAGCGTGAGTTTCAGCCACCGGGTGTGGGACTTGAACCGCAGTCGACTACATGGGAGTCCAGTGACATAGCCATTATGCTAACTAATTGCTGGTCCCTTATTCTCATCTTTTAAATAGAGTAATAATACCTATCTTCCTGAGTTGCTAAATTATAAGAAATACAAAGCAATTGTAAGTCATATACCACTATTATTTCTGTGAGTGTTTCATTGCTTATTTCAGTTCGACTCTGAGTCCGTGTTGCCAAAAGCTTTCTCTATAGGACATCATTGACATCAACTCTCTTCCCATGTAAAATAGACATATGTTTCTTATTCTTTTTCCCCAAAGTGGTTTTTAATTGTCAAAGGACAGGTGTACTAAACTAGAGGGAGCCAGAGAGAGAGAGAAAGAGGAAGAAGGCATCCCCAATGGGGTGTCATCTTGCCATAGTCACTTATCTTCAATTTCTACGTCCTGTTAGGATATTAGGCAGGCACACACGTGTGCCTGGCTTGTTTTTCAAGCTGTCAGGGTCAGTATTCAAATCATATTTAGCCAGGTAGGATCCAGTTCCCTTTAACCACTTGGTTAACATATGGGGCCAGCCCTGATATGTTTATTCTTTTGTGTTCTGTATATGTTTATAAGTTTTCTCAAATTATTTGTGGTATACATTGGGATATAGAACATGAGGGAATTAATTCAATGAATGAATGAGTGGGTCAACCTGTGTCTGGGTAGCTCCAGCCAGCACCACAAGAAACACTAATTAATGTGCTAACCAAACAAGGTCAGAAGAATGTTCTTTGCTCATGTCTTTATTTTAAAAATGGCATCATGGGGACCAGCAGTTAGCATAATGGCTATGTCTCTGAACTTCCATGTAGTTGACTGTGGTTCAAGTCCTGGACCCAGTGGCTTAAACTCATGCCGGGCACGTGTGCGTGTGTGCCCAAGATCCCGAGGAGAATGGAGGAGAAGGGATTGTGCTGTGTCCATCCCCCCTGGGGGTAATTTTTTGCTTTCTGTCTCTTTACCTTTCTCTATCTTTCTGGTGAGCGCACACACCCTGTAGCAAAAACCTCTCAAAAAAAAAAAAAAAAAAAAAAGGCATCATGTTCTGTGAAATAATTGAACAGAAAACCATAATTCTGCAGTCTATTCTCCCTTAAAATCATTAACTCCTTTCAAATGTATGAGCCAGGGTTTGAAAAAAGGATTAATGAATACGAGACCTTCTGTTATTAACATTCTTCAGAAGTGAGTGGCCCTAACTAAAGTACAATAGTCTTTTAGTAAACTCTGCTTCCTGTCAAAAAGAAAAGAAAATCAAATGATCAACGTAATAGAAGAGTAAATCAGATGCACATTTCCTTGAAGACTAATTTCCCCTTCTCTTGCTTGCTGCATTTTCTGTTTGAACTGTCTGCACCTGCTATCCTTACACCCACGCAATGAATGTTATAGATCTCAGAGTAAGGGAAATCATCACTGTTTTGATTGCCACCTGCTCTGAAGGGCTCTGTCAGTGGTCTTGGGGAGAATAAGAGCAACATTCTGGATTGGGGTTCCCAGGAGTGGACCTGGATACAAAGATTTGGGTTGTACTTTACCCTCTCTATCAAGTTGAGGGGGGGGGCGCCTCAAGATGGAATTAGAAGCCAAACTCTTTCTTGAGGGTGGAGAAACACAATTCTACTATTACCGGTGACCTAATGAAGTGGTTTTTCATAAGGTCACCAATGAGGTTTTCATTTAAAATCTGGGACTGTTCTCCCAACGCCCAGATACTTAAATTCATTAGCCATTTTTCAAAGAGGCATGTAGTAAACAGGAAGTGCTCTAATGAAATTGGGTATACAGTGTCCATCTCAGGCCCTAGGTCACATGAGATATGAGTAGTTTTCTCTAGACTTTATAGAAGGGATTTGTAGGGATGAACTGAATAGGGAGGGATAAAAGAATGAAATTATTCAAAGAAATAGCCCTGAGGGAAAGTAGTGGCAAGCAAAAATAATCAGTGGGGGATTCTCTCTGTGTATGTGTGTGTGTGTGTGTGTGTGTGTGTGTGCGTGTGTGTGTGCACACACGCGTGCATGTTTAACTAATCAGTGAGTGTCACACAAGCATGTTTAATTCCAAACACATGAACCCAGTATGCATTGTAAAGCAATGGTGGGCAATCTGGAAAGGTTAAAGAGAAAAAAAAAGAAGAAAAAACCAACAATTTAAAGTTCAATCTGGTAGTTAAAATAGTATCTATCAAATTCTAAAATGAAAACTGACCAGTATCTTGGTTTGAACTTGCAGCTACTGGCTAAATACAAAAACTTGCAGTGGGACAAAATACTGAAGCTGGAGGAAGTACAGTCCAAGCTGGGGGTTAGTCTGGAAGAAATGCTGCTGGTCACAGAGGACGCCCTTCACTCCAAGCCTTATAGCCCTGAAGAGATCTGCAGGTGTTTGGAAATTAACCTAGAGGAACTCCGAACTCAAATCCTGAGTCCAAACACTCAAGATGGTGAGTTTGCTGGAGAAAGGAAGGGTGCAGGTCACCCTCCCGCCCTTCACACACAGCTAAAGCTTTCCATCTGCCCCGTGGATTCTTGTGCCGAATGTATAGTTTGGGCATAGTTGGTTGTTTAGTTACTTAGCTTCCTAAATTCATTCATTCATTCATTGACAATTTCCTTGTCTGTTATATCCTGGTGTTCTGGCTAGGCAAAGGTGAATGAGACATGGTTTCTGCCCTCAAGAGGTTTATCTTTTTTCATCTTATTTGTTTTCCTATTCATTTTTGGTTATTATACTGCTTATATTAAAAGATCTAAGGTAGAGCAGTGCTCACAACTGCTGTGGAACAATACTCTGGAACACCAGAAAATTGTCAGTGCTTAGAATGACATTTTTGGCCCACTTTCTATTTGAATCTGCTTTCAGGTAATTTTGTTTTTATACTAACATCAGAAACTGAGATGAGGCCAGGTGAGTAATGTTGGAGACCCAGTTTGGAGCTGTGGAGTGACCATTCTTAGAAGCAAAGTCATTTATTGTGGGAAGTCAGTCCTGGGGGAAAGAGCATCTAGTTAAGATCCAATTGCTCTTTGTGATGGAGTTAAGGAGGCTGAGAGCTTGGCACAAAGATCAGCCTCAGAGCCCCATTTCTGTCCTATTCTGTGCAGTTCTGCAGCTGGTTATTGAATGCTCATTGTGGATTTGCCTGCAAAGTTATGTCTTTAAGGCTGCAACTACTGACAACTTTAAAATGAGATAAGGGAATCACCAAGTGCAGAGATTAGGTTTTGATTTCTGACATTTTCAGATTTAATTTAACTTGATGAACATCGATTGGGTCTCTAGAACTGGGATGAATTAACAGTGGCCTGCCAGCCAAATCAGGCCTGTCATCTGTTTTTGTAAAATGAACCTTTAGTAGAACACAGCCGTATTTTGGCTATGGCTGCTTTTGCACTGCAAGTACAGAGCTGGGTAGTTGTGACAAAGACTAAATAGCCACAAAAGCTAAAATATTTTCTGTCTGGCTCTTTGCACAGAAAGCTTACTGACTCCTACTCCAGAAGGGCAGTAGACCATAGTCTGCCTCCATTCTCTGTGAAAACAGGTACACCTCACGTAAAGGAATAGTCTGGGTAACATAACATGCTAGGACCAATGCTTGGTATTGGAGGTGCTCACAGAGTGATAAGTGTGGTGATGGGGGTGGATGTGCGTCTAGAGAGACCAGAAAAGAAAGAAGTCAAGCTGACTTTAGTAAGGAGATAGCAACTAGCTTTAAGTTAAATAATAAGTAGAAATTTTTTAGGCAGATAAGCAGTCAGAAAGAAATTTAGGCAGATAAAACAGCAGGCATAGAGGATAAGGGTGGGTGAGAGACGATGATGTATATAGGGGTACTACAGGTAAGATAATGTACATGGTATAGAATGATGTATTAAGCTGAGATTACACTAAGATCACCACAGGCCTTGTTAAATACTTTTATAGGTAATGGAGGAGTCAAAACAATGCTTACTGAATGAAGGAATAGGGTAGAACACTGGTTAGAGAGAAATTTCAGGAGAATATGCCTTTTTCCTTTGACCTAAGACATTGTCTGATTTCTTTATGCAAACATGCATTAACTCCTCTGAACTGGATAGTGGCTGGATGCAGGGATACAGAGATAGATAGGACATATTCTCTGCCTTACCACGACTTAGTCTAATAGGACAGAACACCATATAACAACCACAGTGAGCAGTACCTGCCAGAAACTTGCAGGCCCCTCTTTACCAACTGCCCAAACTCCTGGACATTAAATGCCTTTGTGGTCCAGACTTAACTCTTTTCTAGCCTGCCTCCATGCTGAGCCGATGTGTGCCCATGTGGACAGAGGACCTCGGCTGGATGATTTCACTTAGTCATTGGGAGCTTGGTCTTGCCTCTGAGACTTTCATCCTAATCACTACTGCCCTTAGCAGACTGGACTTTCTCCTTTTTCTGCCATTTCTATGTATCTTGAAAGCTAAATATAATTATTTTCTTTTCCCTATACTTCTCAACCCACAACCTGGTCTCTTTTTTGTATCCATGTTCCTTTCTTTCTGTAGCTGTCTTCCCTTCTTGTTTTAGCATTTTTTGGAATAACTTCCTAGAATACCTTGGAAAATACAAAGGATAGTTTGCAAATGATAGGGCATGTATTGCTATACATTGGGTCAGAAAAGTTATGACGTATTTTTCTACGTTTTTCTATGCAAAAATACTTCATGACTTTTCTGATGACCCAATATGTTTAAGTTTTTCTCCTGAAGAATAATGACTTCATTGTTTTTCTAAAAATGGTGCTTGCCTCATCTTACCTCTTTATCTAAAATAACTACTGTCTTACTTGCACAACTTTACGTAATTTACTTATGTTTTGTTTGCACTCCTTAAATCTGTGTTGAATGAGTCCATTTTGTAATTATATTATCCTCAAAGGGTCCCCTGTTTTCTTTCAAAATAAAAAAGTTTAAAAAAGCTTACGAACATAAATTAGTCTGTGGGATTCTGGAGTATCCTAGATCAATGTTGCTTGATTTGCTTTTCTGAATCTAGCCATCCAGCCCTGACTAAATTTTCAGCTGAATTCTCTTGGTACCCAACTTTAATTTTAGGAATCAAAAGTTTAAATCTCTTTGGCTTGGTGTTTCTGTGTTTGCGCTTGGTCTAACACCTTAAGCAAATGTTCCTCTTAACTGTTTAGAATATGATTCTTATTGAATTTAGATTCTTATTGAATGTAGCACTGTACTTAGACTGTACTAACAGAGACAGAAATGACAAGTGTTCCTAGCAGAGAACTCTAGAGGGTGCCACCACCCCTTTACTCCAGGTGCCTATACTTTTTTTTGGAGAGGTTTTTGCTGTAGGGAGCGTGCACTCACCAGACAGACAGAGACAGAAAGTGAGAAATCACCCTCCCCAGGCCATGCTGCAGTCCCTTTTCCTCCATTCTCCTCTTGGGATCTTGGGGGCACATACACACGCCCGGCATGAGTTTAAGTCACTGGGCCCGGGACTCAGACTGCGGTCGACTACATGGGAGTCCAGCGACATAGCCATTAATCCAACTGCTGGTCCCCAGGTGCCTACTTAAAGAATCTTACTCTGTTGCCTCCATGGTCTGTGGGCTCTTGAGGGCTTAGTTTTGACTTGAGCTAATTTTCCCAGTATGGAAATCCATGCCTTTCTCAAAGGGACATAGGCTCTTTGTGCTCTGTTCCTGTGTGTGTGAGTTGTAAGACACTGACCTTGAGATAACAGGGTAGGGAGAGATGTTTATAATCAAACTGTAGCTAGTAGTTCTACTCAATAGTCAGACTCTCAAAAGCCCAGGGGCAATTGTTATCTTCTCTTTATAAATTTCTAATAATCAGATTTAGAAATGCTCAGAGTCCATTAAAATGAAACACACACAAAGTGAAATCCTCAACTCCTGTAGATGTGTTTATAATGTCTACAAACCATCCCTAGGGAATTGACTCTTAATAGTTTGTTCATTTGCCAGGCCTTGACTGCAGGTAGGGATTGTCTAAATGTGTGGTGGGCTGGATTCCTAGAGGCTCCGGAGCCAGCCTTCATTGGGAGGTGTGCTTCCCAAGGCATAATCCAACAGGGAAAAGTGAGGCTATGGTCAGAGCCAGGCGAGAAAGGCACATGTGTCAAACACAGAAGCGAAGTCGAGGACACACACTGAAGGACAAACAGAGGAATTTCTGAGCAACTAACTGGGAAGTAAGGTAGAGAATGAGTCAGGTGGTTTGGATACTCACTTTAAAAAAGGTTAAATTACCGCAGTCTCCTTTTGGGAGTGCGCAGACTGTGCTCTGGGATGGGGTAGTCTGGCTGCTTAGCTATACTGGGCTGCACTGGACACAGATTTCAGTGCTTAGGTGACTAATTTTGCCTGTGACAGTACGCTGGCCAATCGCTGACTGAGTTGTTTGCATCCTGTGATCTCCAGAGATTGAGTAAATACAGACACTGGCATTGACCACTCTTTGGGAAGGCATCTAGAGTTGATGGAAAGGAAAAATAAAATCCCCAAACTTATTTACTTTATGATTTATATATTACCCCTTACACACATCATCTGATTTGCATCTTTCAACAAGCCTGGAGCGCATGGTTATCTTTATTTCACAGACGAGGAGACTGAGGTGAGTTCCATGGTTTGTCATGACTGCATGCCTGGTACACGCTGGGGCCAGACCCAAATCCTAGTCTCTGTCTTGCCCTACTATTCTTTCTGTCATCACTTTTTTATCTTGGCAAACTTACAAAGTGGTGTTAGCAACCCTGCAACCAAGTAAGGGAGAGGATATCTAATTTAGACTTCGCTTGGCTCTGATTTTTTTCTTTTCTTTTCCTTTTTAGACTAAAGAGAAATGATAAAGATAGGTTTTTTTGTGGATAAAGAGTTTCTTTTTTGGTTATTTCCCCTTCTGGTATTTTGGCGTTAGAAGAAGTAAGACTGCATGCCACTTGGAAGCTTGCTTTATTTAAGGAACAGCTCAGTTTGGCCAAATGTGCTTGAGCTGTCGTGTTATAGAAGAATCATGAAAAGTGTTGTGGAATTTTCACTTATGATAAAATCTGGTTCTCATAGATTATCTCAGTTAAACCTAAGAAGAGTAGTTTATTTTTATCTAATAGAAAAGTACAAAGGTACTTTGCAATATAGAAAGGGTCAGTTGTTCAGTAATTTAAATTTCCAGTGATGTGTTCTCAGATGCTAAGGAAATTGATTTAAACATAGATTATAAGATATCAGGCAGTAAACTCTGTGATCTCAACAGATTCCGTTGTTTTTGTAAGAAATTTAGGAGAAAATTTTTTATAAAAAGCTAAAAGAAATAATAAATTCCAAAGGAAATTATGAGCATTTTAGAACTTACAGAGGTCAGTTGAACAGAAATCCATATTATCTACATGTTGGAGTTCTAATGATAAGGCAGAATAAAACAGATCCTTTAG